AACAACAACAATAATTATTGTTATTATTATCCATGTAACAACAGTTATTCTGCTTCCTCCCTGTGCTTCCTATTTTCATTCCACCACCCCCACCCCCGCTTCCCATCCTTTATCAACTTTGTCTTTTGGTAAATGTTGTCCTTTTGATTTTGAACGATTGACCATTCCATGGTGAGTATACCTTACTAATATTGTTGTCCCCCTATATACATGTGTACTGGCTTGACTGAAAGTGAGTTCCTTTCTAGACCAGAAGGGTGGTCGAGAAACATAGGACTGGGCAGTGATTCTCACTCCACTGTGCATGGGGTCACTACAAGTAGGCAGGTAACAACAACACCAACATAAAAGTATTTTCTGCCTGGCTTTTGAGATACTTATAGATCATGCTTTCCCTCTCCAATTACAAAAGTCTTTTCTAATAAGCTCTAGCTTTACTTAAGTCTGACTTTGTTTTTTATTTGACAATACCAACCTTCAGTGCTTCCTGGAGCTTGCAGAATTCACTTTCTAAAATGCAAAACCGTTGTTTTAAACTGTGAAGTTCTTGACGATAGACACAGGATGGAAAAATGGTATCTTTCAATATTTCTAAAGTCTGAAATTCAATAATAAACAAGTCTGAATTCTATGAAAAATAAGATAAGGACCAAAAAACAAAATAAAAAAATAAAAAAGGGAGGGGAAGAGGGTCTAGAAGTGGTTTGATGTATATTTTAAACCAAAGGCAGACATGAATCCATATAATTTCATTTTATTTTAGTTTAGTCTGTTTTTCTGACTTGAGAATGCACACATATAAACATACATAATAAGTGTGTAGAAACATAGGTTTGTGAAACCCATACCTGGGCTATGCAGTTCTGGCACCAGCTATATACAGACCACACTCTATTTGTCCAAAGTCTTACTGCATCTTTAATATTGGGAAAACTGAAGTTACAGGTTAACCTGAGCCAGCGTCTGCTACTGGGTACGTCTGTTGGAGGAATAATCACTCTGTAGGAAAAACAAAATCAAATAAATAAAAAACCCCTCAGAATTAGAGTAGTATTTAAATTAAACAAGAGGCTGGTTTTATAGTCTTAATCAGGAGGAGAGAGACATCCTAAAGCCAAATTCTTCACTGAATTCTAGAATTCAGGAATTCATTCATTCAACAAATATTGTGTACCTGTTATGTTCAATATGTACCAATATGTTCAGGAGTCCTGGTGTGGCACAGTGGGTTAATGTGCTGGATGGCAAAGTCAGTTTGAACCGCAAGGTTGGCAGTTCAAGCTCACCAGCCACTCCTGAGAATCCCTACACAAGGTCGCTATGGGTCAGAACCAACTCAATGGCAGTTAACAACAACAACATTATGTTCAATGGAGACCCGGTATAGCCCTGGAGGATAAGCACTAGACTGGCAAAGTTGGTTTGAACCACAAGGTTGGCAGTTCAAACTCACCAGCTGCTCCTTGGAAACCCTATACAGGGTCGCTATGAGTCAGAATCAACTCAAAGGCACAACAACTATGTTCAAGGTACCAGGGATTCATGATGAACAACAGACAAAAATTCTACCCTCATGGAGTTTACAGTCTCATGGGGAAAAATAGATAAGTAAACAACAACATATATGGTATGTTAAATAGTGAATAGATGATGAGGAGAACAAGAGCAAGGAAGGAGGAATGTAAATGGTGGAGAGTGATGACATTTTAGATAGGGTTTGTTGTTGTTAAGTGCAATGCAGTCAATTCCGGCGACCCTGTATAGCTTCCAAAGAGCAGCTGGTGAGTTTGAACCACTGCACTTGCGGTTCAAACCAAACTTTTAGTCAAGTGCTTATCCTACAGAGTCACACCAGGGTAGCTAAGGAAAAGTCTCATCAAGTTGACTTTTGAAGGAAATGTAAATTGTTGCAGTAAGAGCATTTTAGGTAGACGGTGGAAGAGAACCTTGGTGTTTGAAGAATAGGAAAAGGCCAGAGTGACTAGGGTACAGAAACTGAAGGGCAGAGGATTAGGAGATGAGATCAGAGTGTGATTCAGAAAGGTCTTATTGTAAATAAAAGAAAAAGGTCCCTGCCCCTCTGTGTGCACCGAAATCCAGTCTCTGGACACAGGCGCACTGAGCCACCATGGCTCTTCACATCTGACTCCCCGAATAGGTAGGGGAAGAATGGGAAGTAGTCTCAGATTTATAGCGAAAAGTGATATTCATGAAAAGGGGTGGGGTAAGACTGGGGATTGGTTGAACTCAAGTACACTTTGATTTAAAGGGCCATACAATTTTAATTAACTGTGCAGGTGTACAGGATGCTGAGGAAGGGTTTGCGCTTCAGCAAACCAAGAAGTTTTGCCGCGAGTTTTAATAAGTTAGTTCCTTTGGCTGAAATGCTCTGCACATGTGTGATGTCCCAAAATACTTGAGTCTGGTTTGGGCTGGTTGTCATCTGAGTGTGGTATCAATAGCATTGAATTAGCACAGGAATAGAGTAACTTTAGCTCACAGATGTACCGGTTTTATTTTGGATCATGTTGTTGTTAAGTGTCCTTAAGTATGTTGGTAGTGCCATGGAATCAGTCTTGACTCAGAGCAATCCTGTACCAGGTTTCCGAGGAATCTACTAGGGGCTAGTAGATTCAAACTGTTGACCTTGCAGTTAGCAGCCCAACACTTAACCTCTATGCTACCAGGGTTCCCTTTATCCATGCTAATATTTTTTTATTATAAGTGAGCTAGGAAGCAACTGGAGCGTTTGAAGTAGAGGAGTGCCACGACATGATCTGTTACATGCTCTTTTTAGCTGTAGTGTTGCAGACTCACTACAGAGGAGTCTAGGGTCTAAGCAGGAAGATCAGTGAGGAGGCTTTGATAATCTAGGATACAGAAAAGTCAGGGATAGTGACTTAGTTGCTACTTTAAGAGAGCAAGTGTGTTTTAAAAAAAATGTTTTTTTTAATAAAGATAGCTGTAACTACAAAGAAATATATAAAGTACCATTCCCAAACCAAATGCACTGCCACTGAGTCGATACTGACTCATAGTGACCTTGTATGCAGTTTCTGAAGCTGTACATGTTTACGGGAGCAGAAAGCCTCAGTTTTCTCCTGCAAAGCGAAAGCGGCTGATGGATTTAAACAGCTGACCTTGCAGTACTTATCTTATAGTCCCAGCTGGCCTCCTTTTATAAAGTGGCTTCCTTTTATAAGATAAGTACTGCAAGGTCTTACTTTCCATCCATAAAGGATGGGTTCCTGGAAATGAGAGTCTCTTTCAATAACACATTTAAACTGAAAGTTCCAAAAATTAACTGATAAAACCAAAGCATTATCACAACTAAGATTTAAACTGAAATCCTATGCTCCTTCTTTGATCACTTACTTACCAGACTTATGTCAGAATTAAATTGATCAAGAAAGGAGAAAAACAGTGCTGTCCATTTCAAACACAATTCCTTGTGATTTTCATTTCATTTAGCCCTCTAAACTAGGGTTGCCTGCCACATAAAATACAGGACACCCAGGTAAATCTGAATTTCAGATAACAATACTTTTTTTAGTATAAGTGTATTGCAAGGAACCTATTTAAACTGTGTAGGTATACAGAATTTGAATCATGGTATGGTCCGGTAGGATAAACACTAGACTGCTAATCACAAGGTTGGCAGTTCAAACCCACCAGCTGCTTCTCGGAAACCATTTACAGGATCACTATGAATTAGAACCAATTCACAGGCCCTTAGCAACAACAACAATAACAGCAACAAAAGATAAAACTTGTTTATCTGAGATTGAAATTTAACTCAGCATTTTGTATTTGTATTTGCTAAATCTTGTAACTCTATCCTAAGCTGATCAGATCTCTTAATATTTTCTCTGTTCTACATTATGCCTTGCCTTTCTGGTGACTGTGGGGGCGAGGGAGGTGTAACCAGCTTGGATGGAAATCGAGAAGCTTCTCTTTTCTTGAATAGTCTTTTGGCTTTGGCTTTTTGCTTCCTTCTTCGTTGCTTAAACTTGGGCATGATTTCTATAGAAAAAAAAAAAGATTTTTACATTTTAAATTTGTATTAATATAGACATGATAATAACGGCACAAATCATCTATGTACAGTTTAATAAATGATCACAAAGTGAACACACCCTTGAAATTGTCACCTAAGTTAAGAAAAAAGTCATTACCGGCACACCAGAATCCCATGAAGTGGACGAAGATTTATACCAGGATTTAAACTGTCATCCTTCACAGGCATAATAAGAAAATTGAATTTAATGCAGGAGATGATAAGAAACCTTCAAATACTTTAAACAAGAGAGTAATAAGATCATATTTTGTTCTAAATGGTAAAGACTAAAGACAGGAGGATCATGGGAGAACACTCAGACTTGGAAAAATCTCCAAAACAACTGGTCTGGACTTTTCAAGAATTTCATCAAAGACAAATAAGTATAGTAAAAGGCCAGGGAACTAATTTGGATTAAAGGAGACTAAGTAAATCCTGGTGTGGTATTGTGGGTTACTGAAAGATAATATGAAAAGGGAAATATATAGGTTATATTCTCTTTTTAAGGAGCTCTGGTAGCATAGTGATTATGAGCTGGGCTGCTAACCTCAAGGTCAGCAGTTCGAAACTACCAGCTGCTGTTCCGCGGGAGAAAGATGAGGCGTTCTGCTCCCGTAAAGATTTACAGCCTCGGAAACCCTAGGCAGGGTCGCTATGAGTCGGAATTGATTCCAAGGCACATAACAACAACAACAACAACAACGTGTGTTAGTCGGAGTCTTGGTGGTCTGCAAACAAGCCATTTCTATGAAACCCTATACAGGGTTGCTAGGAGTTGGAATCGACTCCACGGCACTTAAACAGCAATATGTTAGTTAACAAAAGTTAACAGAAGTTGAAATCCAGCACAGGAACCCACAGAGCCACATAAAGCCTCTCCCAGTACAGTATTAGGCATACAGCAAACAGGGCTCCCACGTTTAAAATCGACACTCTCACGGAATGTCGGACGATATAAGACTACATCAAGAAACACGGTAATACTGCTGGTCCAGTTGTGTACTTTCTCAGACTTTAATGTGTGTAAGAATCACTGGAGGCAGTGATGAGGTTCGGTAAAAATGCATATTTTGATTCTATAGGTCTGGGTGGAATCCAACAATTTGCATTTGAAACAAGTGCCCGAATAATGCTGATGCTGCGGGTCTGTGGACCACACTTGAAGTCGCAAAGATGTAAAGGAACGTGCAAAAGGAAGACAGATGCCTTGCTCCAAAACATACTGTTTGGAGTGTTAATTAAATAGCAGAAACATGGTTAGGATGAAGACAAGCTGAGCAATTTCCCCAGCCTCAAACCTCTCCTTCTCCGCTCCGTCTTCCCTCCCACTACAGACAAAGTCTTCCCTCCTTTCGTCGTAAGAATACAAGCAGAAAATGGCTCAGGTACAGAAGACGCGAGTACAGGTAAACAAAGGAAGAATCTCTCTGCACTTACTAGTCTAAAAGCCCGCGGATTAGATGAAGTCTGGGCTGTGGTCTCTCCCATGCCATAGAGAAAAATTCAAAATTAAACCCTTGTCATGGATAGGCCAATCGTACCAATGACCCTTCTACGATTCAGTGGCGCCGAAGTAAAATCTAGTTTGCGATTGGTTGAGATAGCACATGCTCTGGCCAATCAGAGCCGAAATATTCCCAATCAGAAAAGAGGGAAGGCGGGAGGGAAAAGGAGGGGAAGCTTGAGAGAAAAGAGGGTGTGCCCACGCCCTCTTTGCTGTCTGTGGAAGGTTTTATGTAATTGGTTGGCGCTTCTTCTGACTGCACCAATCACAAGGTCCTTTCTGCTGAGTTCTAACTATGAAATTGAAAGTAGAGATGAGGGAGCAGCCAATGGCAAAAAAGTCTACAACAGCCAATCATCCTGCGGCGTTTTGTGTTTTTGCCCAACAGGAAAATATATTTATATGGAGGGGCGTTACCCAATCTCCATTGGGCGGGCGTTGGTGAAATTGGGGAGCCAATGAATGCGAGACGTTGAGTGACAGCTGTCCAATAGGGACCTTCAGTGCTAGTACGGTTTGGGGCTTAAGCGCCGCCGCGGTCTGAGGAATGTCAACTATTCAACATGGAGGCGGAGGTCGATAAACTGGAACTGATGGTGAGTGCAAAGTGGAGCTCTACAGGGTAGTTTCTTTCTCCCCCATGGCTTCGAAGGTGGGACCCAACTTGTAGACGCTGGAAACTCTGGTAGGCGGAGGCTATAGCAGACTTGAGTTCCCTCCTCTTTCGCTAAAGGGAGTTGCCACCGCCTGCTCGTTTTTAACTGCCGCGCGGAAGGGGTACATCCGGGAAACTCGTGAGGGAAATGGCGGGAGATGTTGAGGGTGCGGGGCCTTTGGAATTCCTTGTTCTCTCCCCTTTACCTTTCCTCCCCTCAAGAAACTGTAGCTAGTGCACAAAGCGTTGTATCTATTTCTACCAAAAGATGTGACTGGAAAGGTCGCTAAACACTTCTAGAAGGGGAAAACTCGTTCACACTCCCGAGAAAGGGAGATGAAGGGTGGGTTATAGCCCAAAGGAGGTACATCTCTTTAGGGATGAGCCTTTCAGGCTCTCAAAGGATGAAGAAGTCTGAGAAAGGATGCTCGGGACTTGTCTTTGCAACTTCCTATCAATAAGCCGCTGAATCTCCTTGGGGTGAGAGAAAGGTGTGAGCGATCGGGATGTGAACCACAAACTTCTTCCTTGGGGCGCTGATGGGAGTGGTAGCTGTAAAGCTCCTCAGTTCTAGAGTTGCCCAATTTCGTTAATTTGCGTAAGTAAGGGGCGGAAGCGAATTGGAAATGACTCCCATTGCCTGGATAGTTTGGGCTGGCAAGAGGGCGCTAAGTGGGGGGTTGGGGGCTGCCCTTCCTATTTTCTTTTAGGATGTCTTCCCCAACTTGTTCTTTATATCACCTCCCTTCCATCCCTAGACTGCCACTACCTGCTTGTTTGCCGGCGTGCTTTTCTTCTCTTGTTCTGTTTGTAGCTATACTTTCCAGGCATATTAGTCTTTTGGATTGGGTTGGCTTCCTTAAAAACGTGGAAATTGTAGGCAAACAAACACTCATAAGTCAGCGCCTGTCGTTTTTCTGTTAAAGAATATGACAAGATGAAAATCATTAAAAAATTAATTTCTAAAGTTAGAGAAATGCACCCTAGACTCACGTCTCTTCTTGACGGGTAGAATCAACTTAAAATTTTTTATATATACTCAAAACTTTAATTCACTTCCATTTTTGTTTCTCTTTTGTCAAGGATTCTAGCTTTCTCCCACCAAAATTTAGGCCTTTAGTATCAAACATAAAATGTGAAAATTCTGGAGCGCCAAGGACCTACCTTTAATTCCCTCTGTACATACTTCCTGTTATGGCGCTGTAGGATAACCACAAGGTTGAAGATTCAAACCCACTAACCACTCCTCGGAAACTATTACGGTCGCTAATGTTGTGTTGGTAAAATGCCGTTGAGTCAGTTCCGACCCATAGCGACTATGTATAGGGTTTCCAAGAAGCATCGAGTGAGCTTGAACCGCCAACCTTGCACTTCAAACGGCTTTGCAGTCTGACGCATTAACAACCCACAGCGCCACACCAGGATCGCTATTAGGAAACCCTTTACAGGGTCTATATAAGTCGGAACTGACTAGGTGTCACTTAACAACAAAACACATACGCAGGCTCTTATCAACAATATACATACTCAATATTCCTAGTCAAACTCTGAGGATGTAAAGAGAATTGATCTTAGATTTTAGTGAAGGGTTCACGCTCATATAATTGTTCTCTTAGGTAAAAAAAAGAAAGAAACTCCAGGCAAAAGAAACATTGGTGTGTGTGTGTGATACTCCAAATTTTAAGTGTCTCAGATTTCTTTCTTCTCCATCCCTAATTTCCTTCCTTACGCTGCGCACCCCACTCCTTGCGTCTTTTGTCTTTTTGACATTTGACTTGGAAACGCCATGTGGTGATGGAAGAAAGGGAATAGCATCCTTATCTGACCACTTCTCACCTCAGAAAATGTGAGGCCTTGATCTTCTGATGTATTGATGGACAAGGGTGCCTCACATAAAAAACTTGATTTGAAGGCTCTCAGTTGCTTGTAACATATATATATTTTTTAACTTGCTTTGTGGTGAGTAGGAGATGTGGGAATAAGGGAATGGAGAGAAACAGCAGAGAAAAAGGAAGAGTTTTTAGTTTTCTATTCTTGTAATAGAAAATTTTAGTACAATGTTTTTCTAATGTCTTTTTAAAAAACAAACCAAAAACATGCTAACATTGTAGATTGACTGTATTATTAGGAATAAATGTTAAAACTACCTTGCTTTCTCTCCCCTAGTTCTGAATGTCTCCCTCCAGATAATATTTCTACTTAATTGTAACTCCTGGTGTGGTGCTGCGGGTTAATGTGCTGGACTGTAAAGTCAGTTTGAACTGAAGGTCGGCGGGTTAGGCTCACCGGTTCAAGCTCACCAGCCACTCCTTGGAAACCCTATACAGGTTCAGACATTTAACAACAACAAATGACACTAATTTTGCTTTTAACAGCTTTGACCTCAAATTTGATGTTTTGAAGATACACGTTTTCTGGCTTTTGCAATAGAGTCAGTACCCTCAGAGGACTTCTTTGGATAGAACATGTTTTAAAGAGACAACAATTAAGCATTTTGACAAACAGTAAGTTTTATAAAATTATGAGGTAGCAAGATTCAAACTTTTAGGTACTATTTGAATAATAGAGAAGCTCAAAATTTTATTTTTGAAAAGAGGAAGAGAAAAGAGTAGGTCTTTTTCCTTTTCAAAATTTATTTCAAGTATTCTAGTAGTTTCTCTGCCCTCCACTCCCCCTAGTTATTAGTTTATCTCCATATTCGTTAGGGTAAACATTGTGTTTGAACTTTAATGTTTTTCACATTACTGTTTTTCATCAACTGGATAGTAAAAGATAGTGCAGCTCATCATCAGAAGCTTTGCCGTGTTGTTTTTAGAAAAAAAGTTATGTCTGTGAACCAGTTTAGTTTCTAAGATTCTAAAAACATGTTTTCTGTGCTATCCTGATTTTTGTCTTTACAGTACTTAAATAATTGGCTGAGAAACCAATACTGAGTATTTAATATATGAAAACAGAATGTATGCTATTTAACTTTCAAGAGAAAGTGCTTATTCAGATTTTGTAGATAACCTGGTATGTTTTTATTGAATTTAACAATTATTTTAACTTCCAATTCAGAAAGTTAAACATTTGTCTTTTAAATACTTGTCTTTAAATGTGTGGCCCAGCATTTGAGACCAAGATATTGAATGTTCCAGTTGTCCTGACTTTGAGTTAATTTCTTAGTAGGCTCACAATCCAACTAAGTAGTTGGACTGGACTATGTAAAGGGAGGTTGGGGAAAATAATGGGAATGTATTTCTGCATCAGTCAATGTTATTAATGAGAGAATAGACTCATTAGAGGGTAATCTGTCAACTATGAGTCAGATTCAACTCCTTGGCAATGGGTTTGGTTTTGGTTTTGAGGGTAGTCTTTGTTCTCTTTTTTTCTTCACATATTGACTGAGTGGTATTTGTCTAATGTCCTTATTTGGTACCACTAGAAATTATGCACAAAAGATAGTGTGATACTGCTTTCATTTCTGGGTTTACATCTGACTAGTGAATGGATTCTTACTAGTTTAAAGGTTGTTGCTATTAACTTCCATGGAGTTGGTTCTAACTCATAGCAACCTTGTATAGAGTTTCCAAGGAGTAGCTGGTGGGATGGAACTGCTGACCTTGAAGTTAGCAGTCTAGTGCTTACTGTACAGCGCTGTACCAGGAGTATGTAGAGTGGAAATTAGCAGAAGGTCCAAGGTTAGAATATGAATTAGCTTGAAAACAACAACAACAAAAATTCAAACCAGATTATTTCTGCTTGATTTTTTTTTAAGTTTGAAGGAGATGAAGATTCTTTTCCCCTATATTTAAAATATTTGAAGAGTTAACTGAAATTTTAAAATCTTCCATAGTATTCAGCTGAGTAGAGCTAATGCCTTGTTTAGGGCACATTGAGTCACAGGAAGTCTCTTCCCTTATTATAATGTTGTTGTTAAGTGCGGTGGTTGGTTAGAACTCATAGCAACTTTGTAAAGGGTTTCCGAGGAGAAACTAGTGGTTTTGAACCACTGAGCTTGTAGGTAGCAGTCCAGTGCATATTCTGCAGCGCCAACACCTGGCCTCCCTTGTTATAATGGTGGTGGTGGGGTTGTGTAGGATAGAGTCAATTCTGACTCATATCAACCCTGCGTAGGGTTTCCCAGGCTGTAAATCTTTAGGGGAGCAGAAAGCCTCATCTTTCTCCCATGGGGTGACTGGTGGATTCAGTTGGCAGCCCAACACCTAATCCATTAGCCACCAGGACTCTTTCCCTTGTTTTAATTGTTAGTGCAGTGGAGTCTGTTCCGACTCATAGTCACCCTGTATAGGATTTCCAAGGAGCGGCTGGTGGGTTTGAACTGCCAGTTTTGTGGTTAGTAGTCTAGTGCTTACCCTATAAGTGCCACACCAGGATTTCCCATTATAATGGTGGTGGTTAGTGGTTAAGTACCATAGAGTCGGTTCCAACTCACAGTGACCCTGCTTAGGGTTTGCAAGGAGAGGCTGGTAAGTTTGAACTGCTAGCCTTGTGGTCCACTGCTTATCCTACAGCACCACAGCCACACCAGGACTCCAAAACTGAACATGAGCAGAGAAAGTGCAAACTGACAAGGGTGGGATTTGAACCCAGTGTTCTCATAGCACAATGGATTAGCAGTTCATCCCATTAACCACCTAGCCACATCTACATAATGTTGTTGTTGTTGTTAAGTTCCTTTGAGTTGGTTCCAACTCATAGTGACCCTGTGTAGGGTTTCCAAGGAGCAGCTGGTGGGTTTGAACTGCTGTCCTTGTGGTTCACAGTCCAGCGGTGATCCTACAGCGCCACTCAGTGCAGTCTTCAGCCAGTTCTTGAGATAGAAAGCCAATGATGACAAATGTTTTTCACATTGTAGTTTAGGTTCCAGAGAGGTTGTTGTTGTTAAGTGCCATTGAGTCAGTTCAAACCCATAGCAACCCTTTATAGGGTTTACAAGGA